TACTCATGGCATTCAGGAATCCTTGGTAAGGCGAAGACGGTTGAGAGGAATTTCGAGAATTCTTATTGCGTCGAAGGTACGCGATAGTATTTGTATAAAGAAAGTGTGCAACATTTGTACGCTCTAACTTTAAATAATATACGTAAAAGTTGATACATACTCGTGACGCCTTAAGCTATTTTGCAGAATTGGCCAAAGACGCTTTTACTTCCCTTATACTAGTCAATTTTTACAACTTTAGCTTTAAGACCTATTTAGATTTATGTAACGTCGAGATCAGATTTTAATAACGCATTCATATTATGGTTTTAGTACTTAATGGGATATTCTAATAATCATTGAGGTTGTGAAAGATGGTCATCAAGGATATGGCATATTAGATGATCAAGATGGTTAATATTGTCACAATGGGTAATTTCGATTAATAGGTCAAATTGTGGCATGTATCTATGATCAGTGACTACGTCCATAATCGAAAATGAGTCAACTATAGTTTTGTTTCCACAACAATTATTGAATTAGGAAGGATGTCAATCGTTATTTGTAAGTAATCAATTATTTGAGAAGATACTTATGTTTTTGACGATTTGTCTGATCGTGATCATAATAAAATATTTTGTGGAGAGTCGAAAGGGGTGTTAGATGCGAAATGATCCCCGGGATTTCTCTTGTACACACATGACAATGTCAATATATCTGACCTAGATCTTGCTCAAGAGTCTGTTTTAGTAAGGATCTCATGAGGATATTTGAGAACTTAGCGTTATATTTTCTTGGCTTTACTTACTAATTTATTGTTAAGATTAAAATTACGGCAATAATTAATAAAATGAAAAATTAATTGTTTTTTTCAAAAAGGCGGTAAAAATATATTTTAGGCTATTACATAAAATTTAATAAAACGGTGATAATGTATTTGTTATGCATGAATCAACTTTTGATGAAAAGATTTTAGACTTGAGAAATATAAGAAAATCAAGTTATATACATATTTCATTATTTTGCTCTATAATATTAAGGGGATCCTAAAGCCGTCCGTATTACCGACTAAATCGTAATTTTTGTATAACAAATACTTTTTTTCTCTTTCACAGATTCAAAAATTCTTTTCCAGGATTAAAGTATGCACATTATAATACGTGTTTGTGAAGTGGAGTTTATGCCGAGAACGACAAAAAATTTTTCTTAAGATTTCAATTTCGAAATTTTTTGCCAGACGGCTTTGGGATCCCCTTAATTTTCAAGCAACAACGGATCATTTAGATTCGAAGCGAAAATTTCTAGAAGATTATATAATTTGTACGATTGATGTTACAAGGTTCTAAATTATAAGTTAAAAATTTTGGACTTTCTTCTGTCAATCGTTATAAATTGGAGATTCACTTGCATTCTGTGTTTCAAATAGACTGCTATGAGAGCTTGGGTTTAGTTTTCATAGCTGTAGTTGGAGTTAATATTATCTCGTTTTTCACTACATATATCACTTTGTACTTGAACAGGAAAATTAATTTCTACGCATAAAATCATTGCTGTACGGAAGTTAGGCGCGTGTTGTTGAAAATTGGACGTGCATTATGTTAACGCAAGCGAAATCGCACGGCTTTGATCCTTGAAACTAAATACGATTTGCACAGACTTCAAAGTGAATTACGGCACAGCATAAATGCATTTGTGTAATTTCGACAAAACGATCCATTTTTATTAAGAGTATTTTTAGGCAATTGGAATATAAATGCGAAATGGAAAACGTATAGAACAAATTAAAAATTAATTTTTTCATTATGTTCTCTTAATTTTGCAAAAAAGAGAAAGTTTTGCTATGGAACATTGTAGGTTGTACTCAATACTACAATAGCCTGTTCTTTTTGGCTGAACCTCCTAGAGAGAAAAGAAAGAAAGATGAACTGGTGCAAAAGTTCAGCTAAAAAGAACAGGCCTATTAACGCAAATAAAAACAATGTGTTGTAGTGGAAACATTTTACAGCAAACAGCAATATTTTTCGTTTATTGGGCAAAATTGCTTTAAAACAAATAGAATGTACAAAAATATTTTTTTCATTCATGGTTAGAGATCGAGATGCTTTTTTATTCGACATTCGTTTCGCTGTAAACGGAAAAACTACTATTCTGTACGCAATTTTATATGAATAGGTAAAACCGTCTATTTACTCGATCAAACACCGCGAAGCGTATCAGATAAATCAATATGTGCAAACAAGACACAAATCATGCAATAAAATATAATAAATTAGAGTGACGATCTGTTAATATATCACACACTTATTTTCTGTAGCAGTTAATTTTATTGTCGGAAATAGAAAAATTTGTTAATATTTATAACATGATGTGTAATATGCAGAAATCGTCCTATATTCTCGCTCCATTTCCTGATTTATGCAGGAATACTTTTTGCTGAAACTTAAAAAGATTGTGTTAATTAAAGTAAAGTTTGTTTATAAGTTTGTTTATAAGAAATAAAGAATCTTAGCTATTTACATATCTAAAAATGAAACCATCATAAATGCTTGCTTTGATACAGCTTCTCTCTGATATAGTTTTATTTTTATAACAATTACTTGAAGAATTGATTTCTTTTTTGTTTCAGGTAAGTTTGGAGTTATTCAATTGCATTCCAAATATGGTTCATCTACTGTAAGTCATAATAATTTCTTTTTTAATTATTAAGGTTGAAATACAGATCTTTGCATAACGCATAATGCATTACGCATAAGAAAATCAACGAATCGAAGTCTTTTATTTCATGAAAAGGAAGGAAATGAAGAACTTCGATATTTTCTTATGCATTATACATTATGCGTTATGCAAGACTCTATGCTTCTACCCTTATGATGTTATATTTCAATTATTACATAAATTTTGTCGTTGATAAGAAGGATTTCTGTTCTTCTTGTTAACAGTATTTTGTCGGTATAGTAGATGTCTGACCGATAAATAGTACCGGTATAATATCGACGTTACAGTCTCTTATCAACCGTTGCGCGACTGTAGTTAATATGTAAAGATTGATAAAATACCTTGAGCAGCAAACTTGATATAAAATGCGAAATTTTTTACAATAATATCTGAAAATTTGATTAAAATTAATATAAATATCGTATCCTAATAATAATGCAAAAAAGAGAATAATAACTAACTCAAGATAAAGAAAGCATATCAGAAATCTTGCTGAAAGCTTCAAACGGTAATGTCCATTTCTTGTGTATCACGGACTATCTCATTCTTAAATGTTAAACGAAAACGTTATTAGTAATTTATTATTATTGTTTATAGGAAGAATAGATATTTTACTTATATTAATTATATAGAAACTTTAACAATAATCATTTTTAATTTTTACCACACAAAGAAAAAAGTTGCTGATTCAAAAAAATATTAGTTTATTCAACTAAATGCAACGGTTACGGGCTGTCAAGCAAATAATTCAAATAAATAAATATTTCAATTAACAAATATTTGCTAATTCAAGTAAATAACATGTTTTAAATTACAAAATTTTGTTTATGATTCACATATATTTAACCTAAATATATAAATAGTAAATACTTAACTAAATAATCACTACGAACTAAACGCATTTAGTCAAGTTAACAACTTTTTTAGTGTATTTACAAGAGAATGATTGTGAAAGTTTTACATAAGTTTACAATCTATGTTTATGTATCAAAATATACATTACCTATAAAATCTATATGTATTATTTTTTGAACATTATTTTTGCGAATAAAAAAATTTATTTTTCATTATTTTGTTAAAATTAAAAATTATGTTAAATGATTATTACATTAAATTTATTAAATCTAATGTATTTCTTAATACTAAAAAATATTTTTCATATTGTTATAATACATAAAAGAGCAAAAATGTAAAGCTAATTGGAATATTTTGTCTGATGCAATAAGTGCAACCAACTTTTTTATTCGGTGTTTTTAGTTAAAAAATCGATTTACGCGTTGTCTGTTCACAAAGCTTTGATCTGTGTCCAGTTTGCAAGCCCTGTGTGACGTGAAAAAAACTTCGTGGCGTCATTCCTCCTACCTCGCAAAATACTGCTATAGTCAATTGCATTGATTTCATTGTATGTGTCGCGTATTTGCAGAGATACCATTTTGGCTCTGGTAGGAAGGGAGGGTGACATACATTATCCCCAACGTTTTTATTTAATAGTTAATACCTTTAATACCTTTTTCGTTTCGTCGATGAATTCCATAACTTAGGTAATTTAATATGAATATTATAATTTTATATTTGACGAACAAACACAAAGCTTTAGAAGAAATTTCTTTAAAAAAATTTTTTTAATACGTTTAGCAATGTTATAAAGATCTTTCTAAGATGCCTATGAGCATCAAATTATTAAACTGCTAAACAATTTAATTTATAATAGTTATGGTAGTTTTCTATCAGTATAGCGTTTCAAGACCAAAAAATCAATTCGGCACGCAATTTGGCAGAATTTGATACGTAATATATAAATTCATACAAGACATACACACATACACACACATACACACGCACACACATACACACACACATTATTTAAAGCACCAAAATTATTTAAGCATTAATTACTTAAGAATTATTTAAGCAGCAAAGATTCAGCTTCGACCGTTATAGGCTCTATTTCCTATTAGTTGTGTATTTACATAAATACGGTCCAATAAGATTCTTATGAAAACAATTTTTATAGACATTTTCACAAAAATATCACGAGAAATTGCTTTTGATATGCAATTCCTTGAAATTTTTAATAATAATTTTCACTCAGTCTTTGATCTTACATTTCGTATTGTTACACTATTTTATTCTTAAATTATTCGCGATAAGATATTCTTCTTTTCCCCATTTTATTACACAGGATATTTTTTAAATACTCTTTTTCTTAATTTTTTTAAAATTTTATTTTCGATAAGATTTACAAAGGATATATCTAAATTATGCATTAGACTAGAGAAGTGTGGATCGGAGTTTGTTTTAGAAAATAAAACAATTATATCAAAGATAGGAGAAATCCTATCAAAGATGTATCGAGAGATAGGAGAAATTGTAGTATAAAGAAGATAATTATTCAGATCTCTGGTAATCATAATTATTTAACAAAAAGATGTAAAATGTTAAAGAATATTGAGGATCTCAATGGTTATCTCAAAGTGAAAGAAAACCATATAATTGCATAACTGCAATATAATACAGTTAAATAACGATCGTGTGAGATAATGTGTATAAAAATAAATTTATTCGACAACGTACATAACACAATTGGTATTTGTGCACGTTCGATCCGTAAATTACGCCCGAGAAGCGCTTTAAAAGACACACGTCCAATCGAGTTGTCGAGTTGAGTTTACCACTTCTTCAATGGATATTCGCCACTGAGAGTGTCGTGAGACGCTAAAAACGTGCCAGTCGATCCCAATGTTGGTACTATGCCGCTGCTGAATCCAACATGCTCCACGCCGCTATTGAATCCAATATGTTCCGCACCGCTAGCGAGACCGCTGGTGAAACCGCTTGAGATGATGCCGCTGTTCAAGCCGCTGGCGAGATGATCGGTAGTCAGTTCGGTACCCAGAGTCGTGCCCGAGATGGTTCCCAGACTGCCAGATCCTAGACCAACATATTCAGTAGGCGCAATTCCAGTCGCGATGCCAATAGTCGATGGTGCGACTGCAATGGTAGATGGCACGGAGATCGGCACGTGTTTCGTGACGGAAACTGGAACGGGGATCGGCTGCGATACTGGAACCGGCACCGGTTGTGGTACGCGTACTTCGAGGGGTTGCGCTACCGGAACGGCATAGGGACGGTCAACCTTTACGGCTACGTGACGAGTGACAGGGACAGGTACTGGTTGCGCTACTGGAACGGGGTAGGGACGGTTTACTTTGATAGCTACGGGTTGTGCGACGGGTACGTGTTTGGTTACTTCGACTGGAAATGGCTGCGGCACTGGGACTGGCACTTGGACTTCGCGGTGCACAGTAAGACCGGTGATGCGCTCAGTTTTACCATGCGCCAAGCTGGGTAATGCATTGAATCCGGTAGCGTGACCAGCACCGATGAGGGCAGGGCTACTGTAACCTCCATAGTAACCTCCGTAAGAACCTCCTAGTCCATATCCTAGTCCAGGAGCATAGGTGGAAGCGAGGTTATTACCCACGGTGATCCCTGAGAGTCCCGATCCGAATCCCTTCGTGCCGAGTCCAGTCGAGTATCCTCCCAGACCATATCCTAAACCATAGTTCGAGATACCGCCTAAACCGTAACCCGAGATACCACCTAAACCGTAACCCGAGATACCGCCTAAACCGTAACCCGATGTACCGCCTAAACCGTAACCCGAGGTACCGCCTAAACCGTAGCTCGTGATACCGCCTAGACCGTAAGCGTGATCACCCGCCACACTCCGTTTGTCGTGATTCTTCGGGTTTCCCGACTTCTCAGTCGCCAACACGGCGGTTGCCAACAGCAGAATCTGTACATTTTTTTTAGAAAGAAAAGGAATAGATTAATACAGTTTTGAAAGCATCATTAAAAATTTTTGAAATCAGGCAGCGTTCGAATTGAACAAGTTTCGATAGATTACATTGTCGTTAAATTTAATTATGAACTTAATTAAATTACGTATTATGTATTTAATTATTTGTGTTAATTAATTAATATAATTAGATAATTTAATATCTTTATAATATAAATAATTTAGTATATATATGTGTATATATATATATATATATTGATTATACAATTTTAACGCAATTTCATTTGTAATGATAAAGCGAGCTATTTAGCAATTCTGAATCAACTAAATGGGGCAATAGAAAATATTATTAAAGAGGAGATATATACTCTCTAAATTTCTTGGAGTGCAATCTCACTCCAAAAGAGTTAAAATACTATCACTATTGAAAAATTTGCACTCTTGAATAAGAGAGGCAGATTTTCACTCTTCTCTTTCTCTTTTAGGGTGAGATTTCACACTTTTGGAATGAGATTTACTCCAAAGAAGGAGTGAGATTACTTTCCTTTGGAGTGAATTTCACTCCAAGAAATTTAGAGAGTATACAATAATGAATAAACGCCTTTGTACACCGGCCTATGCGTGTGCATAAGAAATTCCTTTGACTTACCGCGAAGCACCTCATTGTTTCTCGTGGTAGTTTTGGATCGAGTGTGCCATCAGTCCGCTCGGTCGGCGTTTTTATACGAAATGGTCAGTTCGCGATGTATGCGATTACTTTCACTGAAACGACAAGGAACACGCCCTGCTCCGCGATCCGCGCACCTCCCGATTATTTTTTCTGGTCGGTCGGTTGGTCCATCCGATTCTCCGATCTGACGTAACGGTCAGAGCCGTCGCAGACTTGCTCTCAAAACGGGTTCGATTCCGCATTATTACGCGGCTGTTACGTGCGTAATTGTCTACAGCGGTGTGTATATTGGTATAACATCATCTGTTTCCTCGTTTATCTCTTTTTTTTTTTTTTTTACTAAAAGGACTTACTTTTGCCAATTGGCGTGCGAAACACAGTCCAAAATTAGGATCGATCGATGTGGTAACGTAACGACGGATCTGCAATAAGGGGCTGATATAATTTTTAATGAATGTGTATACATATATATTACATAATAAGATGTATTAAAGATCATTTCTTTTTCCTTTTTTACATAAAAGAAAACGGTTTTGCTGAAATATCTAAAAATTTAGCTGGATACAGTTCTGAAAATAATTTTGTTGAATCATCAAAAGTTTATTCAAAACGCGTTGATAACAATGCAGCGAAAAGTTTTAATATTCTAGCAAACAGTTTGAGCGTTCTACATAATTATTTTGATTCATTTGAATCTAAACAAAATTTTTTAGATTTATATTTAACTAAATTTTTTAAAATACTTTAATAAAGACGTTCTTTTTGTGTAGATTTTGTATATCGTGAGATGTGATTATTAGTCCTAATTGGAGCTACTAAACGTCCCATTTTAATAAGATTGTATCTAAAACATTTCATTTAAGATTCTAAAAGAATTTTGATATGAAAAATTCTAAAATATAGAGAGCAGTCTTTTTTTCTATATATGTACTTCTGTATATGTTCTATATGTACTGAGAAAAAAATAGCTTAATTTCAAAGAAATATTTCTTTGCTCGTATTCAAACAAATTATTACTTTGGGTCAATGAAAATCTCTTTGAAATTAAAATATGTTTTTACTTCTTATTTATTTTGTTAATTAAAAGAGTCTGTCAATATTTAACATTTAAGTTAAAGTAGTTGATTATTTGAAAGATATTAAAATATGTTTTTAAAATAAAAAAAATATCTTAATTTCAAAGAAATTTTTATTGATCCAAAGTAATAATTTGTTTGAATACGAGCAAAGAAATATTTCTTTGAAATTAAGATATTTTTTTCTCAGTGTATATATTTGTATATTCTTTATTATTTTATAATTTTTGTCTTATTCATAGAGAGAATTTTTTTATATATTTAAATAATACTTGTACTTAAATTATGGTTAAATAGATATGTAGGTACGATAATAAATGATTGCCTTTATGCACTAACAATAAAAAAAACATTAAAATACTTGTTTTTGTATCAAATTTAACCATTTTATAACTTGATATTTTATATATATAGTACAATATCTGATTTACATATTTTCGAGGTCCTAATCGTTTCCTTTAGATGCATATTTCTGACAAAAAGTCGACATGTCTATGGAGCGAAACATATGAGAATTTAAGATATTGTCCATTTTGATAATGATCACATCTTGCGATTCGATGGAATATAAATTACTTGATTCTTGCGTGCAACCGAAGATGTTGTTGGCATCTTCCTAAAATATTTATTGGTGCTATATTTTGCAAGTATTTATTATCATATTGCAACGCAATGACGGATGCAACGCTGCAAAATATCACGGACAGAAAGATATTAATAAGTTATCTTTTAATGAGAAATTAATAATAATCGCGATTTGTTTTTTTACATTTCGCATAATTCTCAATTTCGCATTGGTGAATAAAAATTTACGATATCTAATTCTTACTTGACAGAGATCGACGCGACAACGTTTCTTTTTTGCAAAATAGTTGTGAAATAGCTAGCTGTTTTAAAAAAGTCATGCATGCTATATTTTCTCATATTGTACAGTTCGGTATAAACCATTTCCGTTTCGTAGTGTCATAAATTTACATGTCGCGGAATAACTCGAAGTTCGGAGTTTTGTAACCATGTAAATTTTCATCTTAAGAATTGTCTCAACGAAAATACATTCCTCTGCAGTCTGCATGCACCATGCCGATTTTCAGAAGTACTTTATATTCATGACGCGTCCACGAAGATGCGCTTTATTTAAATTGTACGACGGATATGCTGCAGATGTAAATTGTATTGTAACGTGACCATCAAGTGCCATCTCACCACATTTGCTGTGATGAAATATGAATAGGAATATTCGACATTTGCGAATCGTTTTTGCCCGCATGTGGAATTTTCGTAAAAGGAAGTAATTAAATATCCCAGACACCGCCCGACGAAGAAAAGATGTTATTTTTTTGCGAACTGTGCGATGAGCCCAGACGATGGAACGAAAATGTCAGCTTAGAGATCGGCTGTCTGGAGCGTCGAAATAAAATACTGGTTTAGAACGAGAATTTAGAATGAATTTATTTTAATTTTCAGAAAGAATATATCACTCTTGACTTGGTTTTAAATAATCGAACGGTTAATGTTAATGATGTTTGCTACATTAAGAGATTATTTTCATGTTTTTTTTTATTACACTGAAAAACGATCTAAAATATCTAAAAATTTAGCCAGATACATATCTGAAGATAATTCTGTTTATATCATAAAAAAATATATGTATATAATTACATAAGACACTCAAACCAATTGCTAGAATATTACAATTTTCTGCTACATTGTAAGCAACATTCAAGCGTTTTACATAATTATTTTGATAGTTTAACAAAATTATTTTTAAATCTGTATCTATAGTTAAATTTTTAGATACTTCACCGAAACCATTCTTTCCGTGTATTTGCATGATGTGAATAGCGCATTAATTCTCCTCATTAATTTTTTTTACTAGACTACATCAATACTCATCGTCATTATTTCGAGAAATTTATTTCGTATTGAAAAAGAAATAATATTCCGCGAGTAACGGCAACGAAATATTATTCTGCGATTGTAGGACTTTCATATAATAACATTCTCTTTCTTTTCGCGGCGATAAAATTTCCACGTAGCCTACTTTGGATGTTGCAAACCGCAACCTAAGAGACGAAGGAAAGAGGAACGTGTTATTTATGGAAAAATACGAGGACGATAAAAGGGGCGGCCTATCCCCATGCTGTCTCTTCTCTCGAATCTCCCCCTGATTTCCCACGGAAATCCTGGCAAAGTTTATGACACCAACCGATCGTCGATGGCTCAATCGATTTTGTCGGTAGTCCTTTAATGCGGGTTATTGCCCCCCTGTTTTATCTCGGTAGCTTCGGTTACTTTAAGTAAGCTCGTTATCTAAGAGTATGAAAGCAAGGTACTTGACGTAAATGCTTTTCGTCAAAAGACTTTTAGTAATTTATTCCAGAGAAAATAATATTCTTCTACTAAATATAAGTTCTGCTGCATCTTTGAGCAACACAGCTTCGACTCATTAGCAGTAGGTAATTAAATTTCGACGGTTTTAAATAATTAAGAAAAGAGAAATATTGCAGTCATGCCGGAAGACACTTACGATACATTTAAGTTACTTTGATAGTAATTTATATAAATGAGAAATATATATAATTCATTAAGGAATCGTAAAAATGTGCGCACATCATTAATTACAATTGTAAACTTCAATGAGAAATTGTTGGAATTATATTTATGATCTGTCATTTAAATCTAACGAATTTGTTTTTCTAGTCTTTTTATTTGCGTTTTAGATAGTTGATTGCCTATAGCAGTTGAAGCACCGATACTTCAAAATTAAATCTTATGTATCTTGCTACATTCGAGAATGTAAATAGATATTACTTCGTTAAATTTGCTACTCGAATAGAGGAAAGTGGGGAAATTGTGGGACACTTAAGGGAAAAGTTAAATAAAACTACCAATTATCAATTAATAAAAGTCTTTATTTAAAAGATACTCCAGTTATTTATCTTTAAACTATAATAATTAACATATTCATATTATTAATATTTAACCTAAAATAAAATACAAAACCCTTGCTGTTTCGAATCTTTCGCCGCCATGCAGGGTAATGCCGAATTAGTTTTGTCTTTTGTTTAAAATTATAGTTTGTACTAATAGTATACAAATTTTAATTATTGTAGTTTAAAGTCAATAAAATTTCTATAATTGATAAATAATCGCCGGCTATATTTAAATTTTCCCTTAGGTATTCGCAAAATTACCCCATTCTCCTCTACATTAAATCATCGAAAATATGTAATGGTATTTATCTTACAACGTATACTTTCTGTGGTCGCATGTAATAATGAGACTAAGCATATATCGGATTATTACTGGATATGAGAAATGAGTTATCACTACTCTAATGTAGTGTAAAGTATTATCCGCGTTTATCCCGTGTTCGCAATTCCTCCACTTTCTCCTACTTGGAACGCTCTCGAATACAAATATCGAATAATTTATACAATTTATAGTAATATTTAAAACACGTAATATATATTATATCATACATTTACAATAGTTAAATATGTTTACATTCGTATTTCAATATGATTTTAACGAAATAAAAACTTATGTATGTATTGTTTGCTAATTTCTTGCATAAATTAATTGACATACCTACATGAAATATATAATAGACACGATGTCGATTGATGTTATAGGGTTGAAAGGGATTGAATTACCCTTTTAGCATCAGCCGATCGGACGGAATCGTGGATGCATTAACAATAGGCGCATTACGTAATAGTCGAAGCTCATGAATATGAAAATTTATCGTTGCTGGCCATTTTGATTAACAATCACGAAAGGACAAGTTTCGGCATTACGATTGCGCGAATACAGCCGGCAAGGGCGATAGTATTCGATTCACGCGGCCTCATTGAATCGCGGAACGAATATTTCGTCCGCAATCAATCGATTACATAACATGGTGGTTCTTGAATATCGCAGGAGACTCATAGCCATAATTTTCCATCGTATTCCCGATCGAGTACATATCGATGGGATCACTCTCGAAGATACGATATTCTTTGATAAATTCGCTGAACATAATACGAATAGCGCAGAATAATAATAAATCAGTATAGTGCACGTAAAATAAAATAGATCGGAATTATGATCCATAGTTTTATGTTATATATAAATTATTTATCTAATATTTTTTAACTTTATATTATATTTACATATTATATTATAGTAATATTATACCATTTTTTCTTTTTTTAACTATATATTATATATCTAAATAATTGACACT